GTGCGTAAGTATATCACAATGTGTTCGGTAACTTGACCCTAATTTTAACAATAAACGGTGCATAATTTACTTAGCCACCATAAAAAAAATGCCGTCAAATCGGCGAATTCTCTAAAAAAATTAAAAGGATTTAACTATAACCAACATCAAAGGAAATCAGACTACCGATGATGAAAAACGATGCTTATGCTGCAACTTTATGTAGGCTTAAAATCTAATGCATCATCTTGCCATTAGAATATGTCAACATAATCTATAGATTCAAAAAAAAATATATTTTATTACAGTTACAATCCAAAATCAGTAATATTTGTAAAAAGATTGTATACTGACATTTAAACGCTACTAAGTTTCATTTGGTGACGCCTATTATAACGTCAACAATTGAAACTTAGATGTCTCTGTTTTTTGATAAAAGTATTAAAATATTCTATACTAACACAGAAGTACAAATTTTTAACTTGAGAATGCTCAATTATTCTTTGGGTATCTTATTAACTAAAATCGGTTGTTCAGAGTTTAATCTATTAACTGCTCATTAGTGCATATGAACGGAAGGATTAAAAACCTATCACTATTTGTTACAATGTGTTGGTAGATAAGTTACTTAAACAGCGTATGAACAATAACACCGTAGACATAAAGAATTGATTCGATGAAAATAAAATTAACTAATAGTTACTTATCGCTCTTTACAAGTACTGGACAAATCTGCATCACCAGAGGGAAGTATCTGCACCTTGGACAAAGTCGTGGGGTGAGCTTGGTCTTAACAGCATTATGTACTCAACATCTCCAGCACGAACTTCTGAAGCAATAAAAAACACTAACGTTAACATAGCATTACTCATGACTTCTTCGACAACAACACATTTGTTCAAAAGTACGGTAAACTAACCTTCCCAAGCTGCAGAAGTACACTTGTGTTATTTTGTAAATAATTAGCTAGAGCACGGCAGTGTCTGCTATGGTGTTCCTAATGATGGCACCGACATTTATTATGCTTTGCTGGATTGTAAGAACGGCACGTATCTCATGCATACGAAATCATCATCACACCTAACTTGTCACTGTGTTAACTGCAATATACAAATTAAGCAGTTAGAAATCAAAAATTGACGCAATAAAAAGCAAACTATTGTTCATTTATGAGCTAGTGACTTACCACAGCCACAGCTCCTGAGGTCAGGACGAAGGCATACTATTACTCGAGCTCTACATTCTTTCAGTTTTTCAAATATTCCCGGTATGATGTAAAAGTAAAAGGCTTCCTGATAACAAAACATTCGTAAACGTTTAGTTGGCACAGCACGTTTTTCTCGTAACCTTAATACGCCGTCGACGCACGAGTGTTAAACAAAAAAAAACTAACCTCTAAATGCTGCAGGGAGACTCGTGACGCCGTAACCTTGGGTTCTCAGACGGTGGCTAAAGGACTCGGCCACGAGGTTGGCATTGCATGATATCGGCATGGCGCCGGCACTCGCCATTGCTGATGCGGCTCTGTGCGTTGGGCGACCTCGAACGTTCGACAAACCGGTGGCCATTGCTATATACACAATTGACCATGCACGTGTTGCTACTGCAGTAGCTAAAATAAACGTAAGTACACGAACAATGAATAACCATGCGTCGACACGAATTTTCCTCATTTTTTACATGCAGTTCCATCATTTATAATTAAGTATAAAATTACCATAAAATGCAAATCTACGTAGTTAATACCACATTACAATAAAATTACTAACACATACAAACAGTAAGATAGTGCTTTTTCGTATTGTCATCACACGAGAAAACAAACCAGAAAAACCAAAAAAAATTTCTCACCTTGTTAATGAAGCCTGAGCCCCGGATGACGAGAACACATCTAATCGCAATGAAACGTCGTCGTGAAATGGCAATGGCAGTTACAGGTTACAGCATAGCTGCAGCCACGCAGCCAGTCGTTAGGTATGGCGGCTTGGCGGCTGACCATACACTTTACGATTATGATCGGCGAATCGGCGTTTCCCTCCCTTTTACCTCGTCGTTTTGGATGCAAGAGCTTTTATTTAAAATAATTGTTTATTATTTTTTTTCCCACGAAAATCTCAAGGTTTCGCGTTAAAAGGTAAATTATCGATGAACAATGGTTTTTTAGAATCTTCTTAAAACGCTTGTTCTTCAATTAAAAAAAAAAAAAATTAGGTTACTTTAAAAGCTTAGTTAAATGGTTTGAATAGAACCTCCCCTGAGATGTGAATACTTTTATTTTTAAATTTCAAAGTAGTTACATTGATTAATATAACCTCCCCTAACATGACTGAACTTTTATTTAAAATTTAAAGAGAAGGCAAGATCGAATTATGCAATAAAACATTTTTTGAAGTGAAGCTTTTAACTAGTTGCAGCTTTATTCGTTGTTTTAGATGCAAAAGCTTTTATTTTAAATTATTATCGACTTTCGTTTTTTACGAAAATTTTAAGGTTTTTCAGTAGATTTTTCAGTAAGATAAATAACCAATGTACAATCCAATTTTGGATTTTTATTCACATACTTCCTTTAAACTACAGCTTATTTCGTTGTTTTATATGCAAAAACTTCAATTTAAAATAATTGTTTATCAGTGTTTTTTCCACGAAAATCTCAAGGTTTCGCGGTAAAAGGTAAATTATCGATGAACAACCCGATTTAAGATTTCCGTTTTCCTACTTCCTTCCAACTGCAGCTTTATTCGTTGTTTTGGATGCAAGAGCTTTTATTTTNTAGATAAATTATTAATTAGCATTTTCAATATTTGAATATCACCTGAGATTTAGGACTTTTATTTATTTATAAATTAAGCCACCATTTGGAATATTAAGGTAAAATGTCTTAACGATTTTTCAATTTGATATGAACTTATTAAGAAATTTTTTTTTAATGAAATTGGTTTTAAAATATTTTATTATTGTGTATGAAATTTACTAATGAAAACTATCATGAAATTCAAATCGCAGCGACTTACCTACTAGTGTATAACATAAGAAATAAAAGTTTTTTGTTGCAATTACGGGTTTCTAATTTATATCCCACCACGATCATAAATACAGTAATCAAATAATTTAAATACGTCGGAGCCTGATAGGTACATGAACATTGTTGAAACAATGAGGTCTATTGCTCATGAAAGTATAAGGCAGAATGTAATAATAAGGCTTTTTGAAGTACGTTTTTAGAACTTTTCAAGTGTATAACATTATTATTTTGAAGAATAACCTTTTTAAAACATGATAAAAAAGATATATGTGATTTAGCTCATCCTAGTTGGTAAATAAAAAATGTAGAAACGTACTAACTGATCACACTTACTATTACAATTTCGAAAAAACTTGTTTTCTACAAAAAATGCATGGATTTATGAAAAATTTAAAGAGAAGAGTAAGAATCACAAACTCAATTGAGTAATTTACAGGTTGATTTTATTTGTTTTTCTCGAATTTTTACATTAATACATTTATTTGTAAGAGTGATTAAAATTGAATAACAATCAAATAATGTTACCAAGCCATGACAGGACGACCAATAGATATTATGATGATATATGATATTGCTCGTAGACTGTATTTTATTAACAAAATTTTTTCGTAACTCAATTCATAAAATTAAAGTACATTTTAAAGCATTGTGACTTACCTTATTTTAAATCTTCATCTGTATGCATTTTTAGAGTAAGATTTTTGGAAAAATGATAATTTTTTATACAACTCCTGTAAATGTTGGATCATCTAAAAATTCTCAAGTTCAAAATTTTTGCTTCTCAATCATCAAAAAACCATATGGAAAATTGAGAGCTGCATTTTATTATATATAGTTTGCATTTTATTTTACTACAGTTATTGTAATGAGATGAAAATACCTTAGCATTTTTTACATTTTATACGTTACAAATTTCAGATTCAGATGTTTTTTAATAATAATATTTGGCATTAATTTAATGGGGTGCTTTAAAATATAGGTAAATGAAGAGTTGGTCGATAAAAATTTAAATAATTAAAGCCAAAAAAAGGGAAAACATAATATTTCATTTACAAATAAAATGTAATGGTTTAAACTGAAGGAAACAGGTCCATAGAAAATGTAAATTTTTTACAATGCAAATAATATAGAGCAAGGTGTAAAAATTAAAACGAACAACCAAAATATTTGAGTAAGATAATGATTTTGCTATGCCACAAAGTCATCAGGAATTTTTTTTTACTGAGGCTATTTTTGTTCTAGTTTTCTTAAATTAAAGAATGAAGCGATCCCAGGCTTAGAGTGGATTCAAGTCATGTTAGGAATAAGGATAATTCAATAATTTCAACAATTTTACAAACAAATTTATTTATTTAAAGAACAAAAATTCAGAGGCACAATACATTTTATTTACATATAAATACGTACTTTGACGGTGAAATGTATGTATGCATCTGACAAATATGATAATCTATAATTAACTGTCAATTGTTACTTCAAAATAAAAGTACAATCATCTCAGGTGAATTTCAAATATTGACAATGCTAAGACTAACAAAATAATAAGTATGTAAATACCATAATTCAACATTCACGCTACATATTAAATACATAAAACTTAAATGTATGAAAAAAATTAATATTAAAAAAATAAGTATCTCAGGTTATATTCAAATATTGAGTAAAGCTCTAATATCTTGAATATTGTTTGAACATTCTTCTGTCAATACGAACAATATTACAACAAGAATAATTGCCGAATATGCTAATATAATTTAATATAAAACGGCGAATTTTGCGCATTGTAACTGTAACGCTTTAAAATGGAAATTACGAATTAAAAATATCGGTATACTAAAAAATTTAGACTACATAATTATTCTAAAACAATTACACACTCAGCTTCGTCTTTCATCAGTCGTTTTAAGAATTAACGATTCTTGTATGAGAGAGCCTCTCCAAAAGCCCAGATAAGGTAGTCTTGGAAAAATAATACTTCATTTTACATAAACGCATACCTAGATGTCGTAATATATCTGCGAACTATGGTTGGAGTCTTTTTGGCGACTTATCGGTGTAAAGCCGTCGGTTGAGTTTCTTATCGGTACCGATGACTAAGGTACGATCACGATTATAAGATACGGTCATGAGTGTGGGCTTAACGCTTAGAAAATTGTAAAAGCAGATTTTGAAGGTATAGGAATTTGAAGTTTAAATAAAATTAGGAAACTTGAAACTTTCTGACAGTCACACGTGTCGGTTAACGTACAGGTTGGTTATAGGTTTAACTATATGAACAGTAAAAGATTTACTAAGATTAGATACAACTAAATACGTTGTCTTAAAGAATAAAAAGTTAACTAACTTTTTGACCGACTATAACTGATGTCTAAAAGGATTGGACTCAATTAATTGGTGCTTTAATTATTGAACACAACACATCATTTACAAGCAAACAAATGATGAAAAAGTAATTTTGCAGTTATAGCGAAATAATGATATCAGTGCAGAATTAGACATACTTTATATAGATTAATATGCTACTAGTAAACAAAAGTTCATTAATTCTGCCTAATCACTGTAGATAAAAAAACTATTGAAATTGAACATGTTCAAGACATTTGTAAAAAATTATCTTTTATATTTGCAGTGATGATCTGCTTTAGATAAATTATTAATTAGCATTTTCAATATTTGAATATCACCTGAGATTTAGGACTTTTATTTATTTATAAATTAAGCCACCATTTGGAATATTAAGGTAAAATGTCTTAACGATTTTTCAATTTGATATGAACTTATTAAGAAATTTTTTTTTAATGAAATTGGTTTTAGAACCTCCCCTGAGATTATTGAACTTTTCTTATTTTTCATACGAATTTAATATTTTAATAGTAAATGGTTTTTAAGAACCTCCCCTGAGATTGTTGAACTTTTGCGATGTTGATTCGAATTTAACATTTTAAAAATTAAATGGCTTTATAGAACCTCCCCTGAGATTGTTGAACTTTTGAGATGTTGATTCGAATTTAAGATTTTAAAAATTAAATGGTTTTTTAGAACCTCCCCTGAGATTATTAAACTTTTATTTAATGTGATACCAAATTTAACGTTTTAGTAATTAAATGGTTTTTTAGAACCTCCCCTGAGATTATTAAACTTTTATTTAATGTGATACCAAATTTAACGTTTTAGTAATTAAATGGTTTTTTAGAACCTCCCCTGAGATT